TAACAACAACAAAACTGATAAGGCAGCCAGGGAAGTTTTTTTGGCAGCATTGCAATCACCCTAATTTGCATGATCAAACTCACAGCCAAGACCCACAATAATTCCTGTGCCTCAGTGATCATTATGTTAATCTCCTGTAATCAATGCTATTGTATTAAGTCTCCTCTGCAGATCTCTCACATTCTTTTTGACTGTGTCCTCATTATTTCATCATCACCTGCCCACTGCTGTGTACATGTGACTCAGAACCTACAAAACACTCTGCATATGTTTTAAAAGCTTGTAGCTGGCTGTGAGGACTGCTACCCAGCAGCATGCTGTTGCAAGTAAACTGCAGGAAGCCCTGGGAGATCTTACCAATAAAAACACTGGCATTCAAGGTGCTTCAATCTGCCCTGCAGGTCCGAGTGTTCATTCCCACCACGGGTAAGGAGACTCTGACTACTACCTCTTGCTTGCTTGACAGATGATGAACCAGTGAGCAAGTCAAGCAGTAGCATTTACTGCTCCTCCACATCACCACCACCACCATAGACCAGGCCGGAGCAAGAAGCAAGTGAGCAAGCCCTTTCTAGTGGTAAAGAAAGGAACAGCACCAGGGACAGCAACCAGGCCTTGTCAGTGGTTGTAGGCCCTTGACAAGTGCCTAGTCCTTCCTGCCAGCTCTACTTAGGTTGCTGCTTTATGTTTCAAGGTTATATTCTTGCAATCCATATTGCCGCGATAGCATCAGCAACTTTCTACACTCTCCAGTTTCCATATCCTTGCACACTGAAGGTAGTCAGGGGTTAAAATTGCTTGCGTTTACAATATTCATGCATATCTATTAAATTATATCTTTGCTCCAAAATCTGCTTCAGGACATTTCAGGAAATTACAGCGGTGCACTTTTTAATTTTCATCCCCAATTTTGAACCTCTGAGATAATTATCAGCAAACCTCAAGGCTGGAGCCAGTAGGTGTCTGAGCTGGCGCCTTCCTTTTTCAAAGCTACCTGGAGCTCCAATTTCAGTCCAGCTGGTGATTTCAGCCAGAATCCTGTTGGCTAAAAACAATGCTTTATACTCTTCCAGTGAGAGGGAGGTGTTTCATAAGAAGGGCAAGGAGAAGTGATACAAATAATGTTTGCATTGCAGATGGTCCCATGAGCCAGATCTGGGTCTCTAGAGCTTCCCAGATGGCCACAACCCTTTCTACACTGCCACCCCTTTCCCCACAATTGGAAATACCTCTCTTAAGGCTCAGTAACTAACAGTAAAAACTTTGAGTGAAAATATGCTGGCATTTTTAGTATTCTGGCCCTGCCCTCCCTCGGAATGCACCAGTGTACATGAGTGTCAACAGAATGTGTTCCTTGTGGAATGACCAGGTTCTATACTCCTGATCTATATAAACAAACATTAAAACAGTCAGTGACTCAGCTATAAATTTGCACATATCAGACAACATGAACCTTGTATTCAGACCAGTGAACCTAATTATAAAGCTATCCTAAACAGGCTGGTCCCACCCTAGTATGCCAATGTAAGGCTGGACTATATAGTCTTATTACTACATGCTGTCCAGAGAAGATAGTAGTTGTAGTTGGACACACATGGAAGGAACCAGGTTGGGGAAGACTAAGCATTAGAGCATGTAGGCAAAAGCACAAACATCTGGAAATCTGGTTGTTACCAAGGGCAAGACAGAGGTTGCATCTACACAGGTACTCAGATCAATCTGATGCAAAAGGCAAAGCACAGGTCTGAGGTTAATATCTGCACTTCAAAATATTTGGACTACCTCCAAATCTAAGTTTCAAGGTTGCCTGAGGTCAAGTGGGTTGGTCACAAAGCTTTGGACCCATGTTGGATGTGGGTAGTTTGAATTCTCCAAGCACTGCATAAAAGGACATACCTATTTGGGCACTGAGGTCATTGGAGAATTTTCTCCTGGTGGTTCCACACAGACCTATCTAACTTGTGTCCATCAGGAGGACAGCCTGCAGTTTGGCAGCTCCATTTCTGTGAAATTCCCTGCCTCTGGAGGTTAAGCAGGCACCAATACTCTTTTGTTGCTAGCTGAAGACATCATTTTTGGGAAGTTTTTCTTGCTGACTAGCCATGCATTAGAACATTGTTCATCCTATTTGTTTCAAAATTTTCAGGATTTGCCGAGATATGGAGTAGTATACAAATATTGTAAATGCATACATACATAAGATAGGGGAAGGCAGAGGGGGGCCTTGTTTTGTGACTGATAGTTCTAATCAGTGAATGAACTTACTAAGGCACTTTTTATTTCAATCCCAGTGGTCTTTGGAGCTCCTAAAATGCTAAGATACCCACCAACATTCAACCTTAGCAGCATTTTTTCAGGGGGCGGAGAGCAGGGGAGGAACGGAAACTAAATAAGCACTGTAAAAGCTTCTATTTGCTCATATAGAAACAAATTATTCCAAAGGAGCAGCCAACATTTGGACCCAAAGGTTTTCCCTTGACTTTCTCCTTCCCTTTGATGGGAAATCTGTTTCCAATTAGCTACCTACGCTTACAAACAGCTAGGCCTAAAACTGATCCTCTAAACCTCTCATCAGTGCTGACCCACATTCTTCTGCTTCTTACCAGCGTGGTCTCTTCATCCTTTCTCAAGCTTTCGAAGCAACCACATTAAGCTACAAAGAAGCAGAGACTCTTATTTCAGTATGAGGAGCTCCACCCAGCCCCATTCACTGTGTGGTCCTGCCAGTTCTTGGGGACAGAATGGGAACACTGGTTGATTAGGAAGAAGGGAAATGCCACCTCTATGCAAATACTTGGCAATACACATCCTCTAATAGCCAAGCACATGAAACAAGTTACAAAGAATAGCAGTTGGTACCACCACTAAAACCTCACCAACTTGATCTGCAGCCACTTGGAAACCACTTCAAGCAAGTACAAGCTTCTCAGTAGAGTATTTCAATTCATCACGAGAAATTAGCTTACTGCAGGGCTATGTACATTTGTTCTCCAGATAGTACACAGCTTTGCCTAGTCTCAGCTTGCTCGAGAAGTTGTGAGTCCTTAAAGACACCCCCACTTAGAACACAAACTACCCTTTCATGGGCTCTTGCTCATATTTTCCAACTCCACACCTTGTTAGTAAATCTAAAAGGAATTGATACCCAGGAACTTAGAAGGACTATTCAGCATGCCCAATGCAGGGCAATCATGAAATTGAACAATTTGCTACCATGTTTGTCTTTTCTATTCAGCATTTAGATCTATCCACCCAAAGAAGACCAAGAACTTCCATCTTCAGGTTTTTTTTTTTTTAAAAGAGCCTGACACTGCTGTGTTTTGCTGCAAAGTTTCTCACTGAACCATCAAAGATGTTTGACTTTCCACACTTCATCACAAAGGGTCAAGAGCCTAAATAAGCATGCCAAATCCTGTAAAGATGTTTATCTCTTTGCAAATCCTTCCCAAAGTGCAGAGCCCTATCTGTTCAACATGTCCCTGTGGGTGCTTCACCCAGGGAAGTCAAAGGCCTCTGCTTCGGGCAGCTGTCCTTGAAGCTTGTAAGCAATCACCTCACTGCCCTGAAATAAGCACAGATGCTGTAGATGCATCAGCCACAGAGCACTGGGATGGTTCCATAAAGTAAGCAATGGCTGTACAGGAGTCCAGCTTTTAATTTGAACACAACTCCTTGGAAAAGAGGGTGAGAATTTATATCCATTGGTCTATCTATCTCCATACTGGGTCATAGCTTTAATTCCAGCTTGCAACATGTGACCTACTTTTTCCCCCTCTATTTTTTAAAGCATGGTCTGCTTATTTGCTTCCTTGTCTCTTGGCCAAAGCAGACATTACACAGAGAACTGTGACTGAATTTTAATGCAGAGGTGTGTGAGAGTATGTTTGCACATGTGTCCAAAGGACTCAGAATTTGATCAAACAGTAATGCTGGATGAAAGACTGTTTAATCCTATCACATACACCTCCGCTCCTTTACCCTGCAATATAAAAAAATGTGTGTAACATGTTTATATTGCCCCCACACCCCACAGGAAAGGCCAACAGCAACTGGGAAGGATGATTTAGAGTTGGGGGGGGGGGATAACTAGGGGGAAAGGGTTGGGCACCCTCTTCCCCAGATTGCTGTTCCAACCAAAATCTGAGCTCCACACCAGCTGCTTTAAAGTAACATCAAGTGACTAGATTCTCTGTGCGTTTCCTTTGTCTTAGGGCCAGACTAGATGTGATGTTATTCACCATTTTAGCCCCAGCATAAATGCTTCTCCATACACAGAAGTAGCTAGCACACAGAAGGGGACAGCTGACTGGATTGTGACTGGCAGCCATGCCTCTCTCAAGCCAGTTCTCCCCAGCCTAACCATCAGCTATTGATGAGGGCAGGAGAGAAGCAAAGCATGGCAGCTAGGGTCAAGCAGATAACCACAAGCTGTTGGTTTCATTGTCAGTACTGCTGTGCATCCACGCTGGATTTTAATCTGAACTTTAAAAGAACTACCCATGGTTCTATACTCCAAATAGTTAAGGTAATGTAGAGAGCTTCTTGAAAGTTCAGAGTAAAATCCAGACTGGATACACAGCCCTGCTCTCATCAGGGAGCCACTAACTTCTGCCATTAATGTCACAACTAGCTTGGCTCTTCAAAGAAAAGAGGGTAAAGCTTTCCTGAGCAAGGTACCCACTGGAGGGGCTGTAGATCTTTAAAGAGGAAGACATATTCCCTTGTGAATAAAGGAAGCAAAAATGTACTACAGCAGTGCTGATGTTCTGGTTACAATTTAAAGTGATTGGTAAGGCATACAGCACAATACCCATAGCTTCATTAGTAAACTCCTTTGATAACTAGAACAGAAACATCAGCATCAAGAATGTGGCTTTAAGATAACTTAAGGCTGATGTACCCATTTTAATAAGTTGATCCAGGATTCCTCATTCTTATATTAATAGTTATTTGTGCAAATGCAGCCTGCTAAAAGGGAACAAGACACAGAACTTGCTTACCAGTTGAGTCTGCTGCAGAGTCTCTGCCACTGGTCAGGTCTTCAGTATTTATGGACTGAAGATCTGTATAGGAAGGGGTGATACTTGGGCTGTTGGTGTTCTCAGAAGTGGTTGTCCAGCTGCTGTCTGAAGCCAGAGGCTGTCTATCCAAAGATCCTGAGGAAAGGCATGTCCAGCAGGAAGTTTTTGGAGAAGAGGCTTTATAAATAGAGAAATATATGGAACCAGGTTACACACAAGACTTCTGAAAGGGGGTGATCATGAGAAATTAGAGAACTGGCCTGAACAAAGTATCATTGGAAGAGAGTGTGTTTAGACAAGGAAATGCTCTTTGAGAATCCTTCAAGGCAGCTGTAGCTTAGCCTTATAATTACTGTTTGGTTATTAAAATGTCAACACTGGTAGCAAACAGACACACAGAATAACCTATGAAAAACACACACCTGTCTGTTCTGGAGTGTGAACTGGTTGCCAACTGCCTCTTCATGCCAAATGCACATGGTAAAACGCACACGCGCATGCACACACACGATTATACTATTTTGATAATGTGTGACTAATTTGGATATTCATCTAGCCCATGGGTGGGCAACTTTTGTGCCTTGGCCTATGTTCAAATAGCCCTCTGCAAGGGATCAGTTCCAACCTCTGGCAAGCATGACCTTACCCTTCCTTGTTAGGCTCCTGGGTGTAAGCAGACAGGTGGATGGATGGATGGATGGACGGACGGACAGACAGGTGGGATGTCAGAGAAAGGTTTGGCAGAAAGAGGGAGAGGGCAAAGGGAGAAAAGCCAATTGCCCTGCTTACTTTTGCCTTTGGCCCTATGACTACTGAGATGCGACCCAACAGATTAACCCCAAGAAAATGTGCCCCCTCATGACAGAAGAATGCCTCTACCCTCATCTAATATCCTGGCTTGTTAGCTAACTGGCATTAGAAAAGATTTCTATAGTTCTCTCAGTCTGTACATAAGAAACCAGTGCTTTATGCAAAGCTGAAATTGGAAGCTTTTATTCTCCTCTTATGCGTGAAAGAGAGACATGTGGAACCTTGAGATTTGCTAGTTCATTGGCAATAATCCAAGCCACAGTTTACCAGCTGAATTCAGCCAGGCTCTTTCTACAGATTCATGTTATTTGCAAAAGGCAGGTTTTCAGATTACACATAGAGAACCAGCAGGGGCAGGGATTATTCATGCATAGGCTCTGTGTGCACAGGAATGATCAATGCAAGGATGAGGAGGTACCCCACAATCCTTGTCTTTCCTCTACATGCATTCTTTTCACACACACTTTCTAAATAGCTGAACATTGCTATTCCAAACCAACCCCCCCAACTATCCAAACAAAACCTATAATTAAGAAATCACAACCACAACATACTTTCATGATGTTTGAAAACAAATTCTACCTGGAATAACTTGCATGGAAGAATGTGTCTCCAAAACAGTTTCAGCAAATCTGTACCCTTTCATAAAGGAAACCTAAACTCAGAATTAAGTCACACCAAGGTAAAGTGGACTCCCAGCTACATGAATATACGCAGCTACCTTAGCTCCAGCAACCTTTTTCTCTAGTGAGAAGACAATACCTTCAATATGTTCTGCTTTTATTATAGCTGCAAGCACTCTTCGTTTTCAGTAACTGCTACCCTTTGTTCTTGGCTGCATTATTCTCCTAATACTTTTCCATTCAGAGCAGATAACACAATAAGCATCACATGAGGTTTACTCTATTGTAAAAATGCCTCCCCAAGGATGCGAGATAAAAGTCCAAGTTACTTGAACTCTTTAGAATCAGCCAATGTCCTTGAGAAGAGAGTGGGCTGAATGTCACTAATCACAATAGACCTTTTCTAGCTCTGCCTTGCTACATTCCAGGGTACAGCTCAACCCAACAGGATATCTGATTGGTAACTTACCGACTTGTGACCTCAATACAAGCAGAAAATTAAATGGGGAAGACTTTGAGGCACATTTCCTATGTTATAGTTGCTTTGTTAGGAAGCAGTTTCCATATGATCCTATGCATATTTCATGCTGCACTGTTACCCTGGTCATTGGGGTAGTATGTCCATCTCTATCAGAACACAACACAAGGGAGGACTTCTATTATATTCCAGGTTGTCATTCTTTGCATAAGTAAACAATTTCTTGGTTAGATGCTTTAGTTTTAAAAATGTTTAAAGATTTCAAAACATGGTTATTAACATTAAATACATTTTTTTTAAATTTACTGAAGTGAGAAAGTGAGCAAAGTACAGCAAAAGGAACCATAGCAGGATGGGAAAGCAAATGCACTGCTTGCACACAGCTTCAGATTTTTTAATTTTTTTTTAAGGCTCAGGTAGCAGGTGAAGTGGAAGGCCTCCCTCTGCCTGAGGTGCTGGAGAGCCACTGCCAGGCAGTGGCAACAGTACCGGGCTAGATAGATAATTTGTCTTATTGGGCTTAAGGCAGCTTCTTTCAGTCCTAGAAGCAGCAATGAAAGTGAGAGAATCAACAAGAATACATTTTTTAGATCACTTAAAGCTCATGATCTTCACTTGATACCACAATGCTTCTACCAGCTAAGTGTCTCTAAGAAAAGAATTGTACAGCTAGAGCTTCCTCCAAAACCTATCCATCTTCAGCAGACAGCTGATTCTCCCTGGATCTTTGAAGAGAGTGGCATCCTGAGTGGATGTATATTATAGAACGGTGGTAGGTTAATTTGACAGTAGGTGGTCCTTTGAAGAGGGCAGAGAGTGGCATTGTTCTGCTCAGCTTCTGCTTGGAGCAGCTTCTTACATATCACAAGGAGAAAAGAAATGCATTACTCCAAAAGGAGTACAGCTGGTACAATAATTCAGGATAATGGTACTTACTGAAAAAGTTCCTTCTGGGTTAATGTGTGCAAAGCATCCCACCACAGGTTATCTCCCCTTAGTGCCCAGGAAAAGCAAGGACCATGTCACTAAACTTTTGAGTATTCTGTTGGACTAAGGCTCCTCCTTGCCAGTTCTGTCCCTGTTTATGCCTCAGAAGAAAAGTGTACAAGTCAATCTGCTGGCTGGAGAAACAGTTAGATGCACAAAGGAACTGAAAACACTGTAACACAATTTATTAACAATGTCCAATAAGAGGAAGTCTGACAAGTAAATGCAGAGGCAAATGTCCTAAATAGTGACACATTAGAAGGCTCAGTAAAATGTGTAGGGTGTGTTTGGGATGCCTTTGAACATTCCTGGTAAGCACCTTGTGATATTACAGTTAGCATGTTTGGTTTTGCTGAACGACAAACAGAAACAACCCTCTGTTCCATGATTGCTCATTTCCATAGCTTGTTGCATTTTCCTGTCTGGACAGCAGAACTTGGCATGGTCCCATGGCCAGAACTAACAGTTACCACTAACTTTTCCTCGCTCCAGTTTGGAGAGAAGAGTTCCTTTATGCTGGCCTCTTGTAAGCTGACTTTCCTTTTCCTGCTCCATCTAGAATATGTCTTCCATATTGTATTGCAGATCTGTGCTGTGCACTCCCTACAGAGGGCCAGCATGGTGTTAATGACTGGGTAGTATAGTCCATGTTAGTATAGGTTGCCCAGTAACTAGGTGGCTAGTTGAAGCCATTGCTGGTCAGTCTGGTTGAAGAAATTGACCCTGAGATAGGAAGGACAGACTTCTGGAACAGAAACCATGGTCCTTGCTGAGCTATAGTTATGATTTCCAAGAACCACAACCTGTGGGAACAGAAGGTAGCTCTTAGGACCACTGTTGCTCTTTCTTCTCTGATCTGTTGCAGCACTCTGGCTAGGAACAGCAATGCGAGAAAGTATAGAGTTTTTTCATTATCCCATTGCTGTTCAGCACATCTACTTTGGTTCCATAAGAGTAGAATTTCAAAAGGAATCTTGGGTGTTTGTGATTAAGTCTGGAGGCTCACAGGTCCAGCGTTTGTGGTACATATTGGTTTTGGATTCCTCTGAAGAGTGCAGGCTGACGTCTCCATTTTCTTGGATCTTTTGATGTGCTGCACTGTGATGGAGACTGTCTGATGGAGAAGTTCTGCTTAGCTGAAAGTAGCACAGTCTAGTTTTCTAGATGAAAAGAGCACAATTTCGTACCTCCTTCTCAAATTATGTATACCAAAGCCATGAGGTTCTCTATCTTTAGAAGGCTGTAGGAGTGTTGTAATTGGGCGTTCTGAATAATATCCAGTTGATGTTCTCTTTTTTCCTATGTATGCCATTTGCCTTAAGTCTGATTTAGTTCTTTATTATTTATTATCTCCTCCACTCACAAAATGGAAGCTGTAGAACAGAGGTGATGGCTGAAGTCCTTTGTATTAATACTGATGCTTCATGGGCTTTCTTTAATGCAGCATCAGGCTTTCCTTCTCCTGATGCCTGAGGGCAGAATCCCCATCTTTGGCCTTTATTGTCCTTGAAAGCAACGCCACCACTGGAGCCTCTATGGGGGTGCTTTCAGTTCTTCCATAAGGGGGAGCAGCCTAACATTTTTGAGCAATATTAGCACCCTTCATACCTTGAAGCAATGATTCCTATTCTTCTTTTATTATCTTTTTGAAAGAAATAGGAAAAAGGTCCCTCTCTGGTCATGGGCTTGGGTTCTTGAAATATTACCTTTCCTCTGGATAAGGGTTGTTTTCCTTCTGTTTCTGCAGTGTTGATGGTTAGGAATGTAATTGTTTCAGACAATAAAAGCAAAACAACATTTTTGCTAAAGAATCTATAAGATGAATTCTCATCATCCATTCCAGTCTGACACTTCTCTGTTCGACTCGCATTCCTGCTCAGTTAATTAAGTCTGTGTTTAATGTTGTGGCCCATGGCAATGCAGTTGGTTTGGTCAGTCTTTGCTCAGGTCTGCAGAGTCTTGTGAGCTGACAATAATACTAGGATGACTTGGCTGGGAATTATGATACTTAGTTTTATGGTTTTTATTTCTAGTGGATGGGGGAAGAAGGCTCGAATTTATTCAAGGTGCAGTTATGTCTTGCTACCTGTCCTGTTCTTCCAGTTTGTTTGTTCAGGAGATAATCAGATGATTATCCAGCACAGCTTTTGTAAGCTGGGAGTTACTGATTTATTTGAGAAATGTCACTAATAGTGAAACAGGGGTCCTTATTCCCTTGCCTGGAAAAATGGTTGGGTGATGGTGGATTCACTTTGAAAGTGCAGATTGCAACCCCCAACCAAAATGTCATGAGTGGGGGTCAGACTAGATGGCCCAGGAGACCCCTTCTGACTCACTCTATTTCTGTGTTTCTATGTTTCTAAAATGGCCACCTGCTCAGTTTTCAGGAGGGGCAAGTCTCTCAGTCTTACCTGCCTGGGAGTTTCACCATTTGGTCATTGTTGAGGGGATTCCTCCTCTTCTTAGCCAGTATCTAGGTTGATGGCAGCCTTTTTCCCATCCTGGGAGAGGGGAACATTGTCTGAAAATTCAGGCACCCCAAGTTCCTTACCACTGGCCACTTCTTTCCTGACCATAAGGATGATCCTTTGACATAGGGGAGACTCAACAGGCAGTCAAAGCCTACAGGCTGCTGACATTTTTTCTGTTCTTGACACCTTAGAAGACATCTTTTTTTGAGAGGCAACCACGAGAAAGACGGAAGGTGGCACAAAATGGAAGGTGGAAGGGTTTTTTTTAAGGTTAAGGAAACAGTGAGGAGAGGAGATTGATTAAGATTTTAAGATGTAAGAAAGATGGAAGTTTGGGCAAGTTTGAAAAAGGTTTCAGTAAGAAGAAACAAACATTATCTTTGTCTTGGGTAAAATGCAGTGACAAACACGGACAGCTGGAGACCAGGCAAAAGTTTAGTCATGTGACCCCTGCTTTTCTTGGACAATAGGGGAAGAAAATCCTCGAGATGCTTTTCTTCACACCAACATGAAGAAATTTCAATTTAAATAGAAATACTGTACCTCTCACTATAATGGGCAAGGCAGTGACCAGTGTATTGCAAACATGGCTTGCAATATTGGTATTCTTCATGGCTTTTTACCTAGTCTTGGGTGGAGCACCATGGGTCGTGGAGGGAGGAGAAGAGGAGGGATATTTTCCTTCCAGATGAAACATAATCCCCAGATTCATAGCTTTCATGACAAGTCTCTCACCCTTGTAAAACCAAAGGCACAAGTTTCGTGTACATAATAGACAGGAAGCCATTCCAACCTGTTTGTGTATGCTCTGATGAAGTGCTGGTCCAGGGTGCATCTTCAAACTGGACCCAAGTGCTGAAGTCAGGCTTTGGAGAGGGATGGTTGTCGGGCAAACATATCGAAGCAGAGTCTGCAGCTGCGTTGTCCACTGCACTTCCCAGCTCAGTTTGTGAAAGTGTTGGAAGGTCTCCATCCAGATTTTGAATGCCTTCAGAAGAAGTATCAGAGGAGGAAATGACTTGCTCAAGTGGTTCCCCAACATGGCCTGCAGTGAAAGCCACAAGGTAAAAGTGTGCAATGTCATATCACATACATCATTTAACTGTTTATCTGCTTTGTAAAGTTTTAATGCCACAAAGCAATTTTATGACTTTATGTTTCTCCAGGAGAAACATGACAGCCCAGTCATGTGCTCTCCTCCCAAATTCCATTACAGATGCTTTGCAGTACACTGTACAGTTTAGCTTGTGTCCTGGTATCATTAGGCTGAGCATGGCTCAACCCATTGGTCAATGAATGAGGTTAAAACAACAGCTCACAGGAGCAAAGTTACAGTAGATGTTACAGAGGGTTGGGACAAATCAGTAGAGGGCTGTTGTGTATTTTTTTTTCCAGCACCAACTCTGCAGTTCTTATAGCATGTAGTTCTACCCAGAGAAACATAAAGCTGTTGAAACTGGAAAGAATCTCATTTATCCTGAGTTTTTCTACACTCCAGCCTGTCCTTCATTGTTTGGCTGAACTGTACTGAGTCATATGCTCACACTCCTTTTAGCCATGGTGCTTTAGGACCTAGCTGCGCCAAGTGTAAGCAACTCCTAGAACTGCATCTGTCCTGCTCTTCATCCAAGGAGCCCAGGATAGCGTACATGTTTCTCCATTTCACAAATAGTTTTTGAGACTGTTTTATACCTAATTCATCTTCTGACTTTCATGGGGAAGAGAGTGAGGAAGTGAGCACCATACTAAGTGCAACACTCTATCCACAGCATCACACTGGCTCATGCTAGGAGCAGCCACTACAACTGCTGAACAGATGAAGACAGAAGGAACTCCTCCGGTATGCAAGGGCTTCCCTATTAATTGCAATGGGGTTTCTTGCTGGAACACACAATCCAAAGGGCACAGAATCCTGCATGGGGTGAGTGAGGGGCATCCATTACTGCACTTATCCAACAGAAGGAAGAGATATGCACATCCCCTTGTAACTCTCAAGAGGGTTTGGACTGTGGCAAGAAAGTGCGATGTTACCTTTGATTTACTTACTCTGACATACTGATAAAGACAGTCTGAGGAAGGAAGTAACTCTTGCCAGTTGTTATCGAATGCCCCATAGTATTCTTGTCGGAGGGCAAGCTGCCAATGTAATCCTATGGGTTGTCTCCCAGCAGATACAGGGTCCTAAGTTCAGGGCCCTCCACTTATCCTTGACAAGAGCCAGACAGGGTAGAAGCAAGACAGAGGCAATTTCTCCTTAATTTCTCCATTTAAGATACAAACAATAGCTAGATGTGCCTCTGAGGGGTTCCTGCATATTTTGGCCTCCCGCTCTTTACCCTCACCAGTATTTCTTATGAGGTCACAGTAAATGAAACTTAATAGGTAGCTAGGAGAGGGTGTGGGAGGTAAGATCCAGAACCAGTGCTCCCTCCCAGGACTCAAAGCTCTATCTGTGGATATGGAAGAAAGCTCTGGCATCTTATGGTACCCCAGACATTTTCTGGGACTGGGACTTAGGTGAACCAGATTCTTGTCCCCCAGTAACAGACTCTCAGCCTAGCTGTGTGAGGGCTGCTGTGAGGATCAAATGGCAAGGAAAAGGATTGTGTATGCTGCCTCGTGTTCCTTGCACAAAAAAGGGAGTCTGTAAATATAATAAAGAAATAAACAGAACAAACCTATGGCTCCTGGCCATTACCTAGAGGGCCAAAGGACAGTTTAGATTTTCAGCTCCACAGCTGGAAAAGAACTCTGGACTCAGAACTTGATTTGAACTCACTCCCCACACAACCATATCTGGTATAGAAAGAGCCACGCAGGCTGAGTCTCCAGGGGCATAAGAGTAAAGAGAACATTCTACGGGGAGAACACGGGACCAGATCTGTCAGGACAAAGAGGTGCTTTCCTCCCCATCAGAAACACAGCTGCTGAATGGTCAAAAATCAGCTTTTGATTTTCAGTAGGAGCAGGGAGGAGCAGGGAGGAGGGAGGCAGATGTCAGTAGGAGCAGGGAGGCAGATGTCTCTATACAACTCCTGCCCTGCATAAGATGCCTGTAATCCTCCAATCTGGAGGCTTATAAGCATCTCAGAATTTTTCAAACTTGCAGCTTTCCCATTGTGGTTCAGGTAAAGTTGAGGATTTTCCCAATTATCCATTTCATTAGTTTCATTAGGACATAAACTATTGGGGGTGGGGGGAAGATTATTGCAGATTATTTTAAAATGGAATTAAGTTGTTAGTCAAAAGATAGACAATGTCTTGAAAAGCTAAAGAGCTGCCACTTTCGTAATGGCACAAATGAAAGCCATGTATTTATAAGGCAAATGTAGAGGCTGTACTGGAAATTTGGTTCAGTTTTATCTTCCTGTGTTTTAGCCTTGGTTTGGTCAATTGCTACATATAAGAACGGAAATGGGCAACTGATATCACAGAACTAATTTTAGGCTGAATATTTCATGTTTGGAGATATTAATCATGCAGGAAGGGCAGTCCTATAGCCCCCAGACAGCACTGGGGATCCCAGAATTGTTCAGATTACCGGATCCAACATCACAAAATCACTCCAACCTTGGAACAGGGGTTCTGCACACTGACTGCACTGGCTGCTTCTCTGGGGCCATAAAGCAACCTTAAACCGGGGGGGGGGGGTAGTGGGCATTGCAGGGGACACACAGAGGAGAAGACTGGCAACAAGATGTGACGGCTCCTGGCAGCACCTCAGTCTCTTTCCCTCCCTCTCCAAAGTGCCACAGTTAGACAGACGTTTTGCAGGTGGAAGGAACATGGAGGCAACCTTCACCTTTGTGTTTCTCCCATTCTGTAGAGGATGCCTATAATCCTCCAAGTTCAGAGGGTTACAGTCATCCCCACAGGATTGTGCCCTTACCGATCCCATATGCTTGGTTTGTTTACCTCTACTTTTCTTTTTAATGTGTTCGTGACTTTGCTTACATCATGAGAGCACATGAGTAGAAGCAACACAACAGATCTGAACACATGGCAAGAGAACAAAGGAGCTTACCCTGGGAAGTAACAGGGAGGTGCAGCCCATCGCTGAAGGAGACCCACTCAGACGGCTGGGAGGCAAAGGCGCTGGCCAGCGAGGTCATGCTCACTGAAGTCTGCTACTCATCTTCCCTTCACCAGCAGATAGTAAATTCACTAGAGAATAGTCAGTCCATCATGCCGTGCGCTTCTTTTCCTCATTTGAAACAGAGCAGCTGTCAGGAAGATGACAGGTTTACAGATACATACTTTAATCACACACATCCTCTCATTTAACAAACAACACAGTAACAGCAGGGAAGCCATTAGCATCTGTCTACATGCACTTTTGTGAACGGCATTAACAGTTTTATACCTACATACACTGCCCTACCATTGTTCTTCTCTTTCAGGTGTTGCTCTCCTGTTATTTATTTATTCTGTTTTTACTCTGCCAGATAATATTGCCCTTTCTCTGCATCCCATGCCTTTTGGTAATGCTGTAATACATATATAATACACTGCTAAGTGTATTACAGTTAGATGGTTTGGAATTTAAGAGTAGATATCCACGGTCACTTCAGAGGTTTTAAACACATGTTGATGCCAAACTAGATATATTAAATTAAAATGTATCTTTGGCCTTGCCTTTGCATGCATTAAAAACAAGAACCATCACCAGTGGCTGGAGTCCCTGAACCACACTGAGTCCAAAGTTTGGGTAGAGAATAGATGTTAACATTTTCCCCATACTGTGATCCTAAGAACTACCCAGAGAGCTTGGCTATTGGGTGGTACAGAAATATAACAAAGTAATAAAGGAATGAATGAATGAAAACTACCCCCAGCCCCAGAAAACCTTCTACTTGCACCAAGAAGTAAGCTGCTATTGGCAGCAGAATGTGGGCTGCTGACTTAGGGTTTAAATCCTCAGTATATTTTGGGAGTTGCATACATGGGAATTATGGATCCTTTTGACCAGGGACTATTTATCTAGAGCAGAGGTGCACAAATGTTTGGGCCACAAGGGTTGCCCACATGTACATGCATCCACAGATGCATCCACACATCTCAGATCACTCTCTGACTATGGTTAGCAGCTGAGGGGAAAAGAGAGCTGCATGAGGATGTTTAAGGAAGGGAACACAGGTGAGACCAAAGAGAATTTAGCAGGGAGGTGCAGGCTTTGCACCCCTAGTCTAGAGAGAAAGAGGGGAGAATTATGATTAGTGAGGCTGCCAAAGTCAAGATCAGTTTTAATAGTATCTTCTGCAATGTATCCTCCTAGATCTAGTTAGTTTAAGTAGAGCAGGAGATTAAAATCTTCCCTATTTTCTCAAGGGGCTAAAGTCTCCCAAATGAAATTGAATGTTTACAGCTATATACATTTTGTGTGTTTCCATTGGAAAAAATCTCTATCTCATAAACTAGTTCCAGTTCCATAACCGCATGAAATTCAATAAAGCCAAGTCAACAAAAGTCTGGAAGAATGGCATGATCTTATAGTAGCCACAATACAACCTATGCAGCCCATATTTCCTGATGCAAGCCCCTTTCCAACATCCTCAAACATATTTTAATAGAATTAAAATTGTTTCCTACATCAGAGTTTAAGCAACGAGACTTCTTTGTAGCCAAAAGTTTCATTAGCAAATTGCCTTTGTAACCATACCCCAGATATAATATTCTACCCAGGCACCCAGTGTAAGAGGCTTATAGGGCTGAGCAGAGGAACTGTGGGCTGGAGTCAGTATTAACAAACTGCTCGATAGTCCTCACAATAAAGGACACTGAAGAAGCAGATGATTGTTCATTAGATCACATGAACTGCATAAAATAGGAACCACAGCTCACCGGTATTGCAGGTGGCGACTTACACATCACCAAAAAAGAGGGAAAGCATCACAAGCACAAGGAAAAGCTCCCAATATGAAGGGAACAAAACAAATTTCCAGTAAATTGCCATGTGATCATTCATATGCATAGATACAATTTTGGAAGTTATGACTATAAGTTACATAGAAATTCAATACATAGTAAGAAAGATGGTGACCTGGATATCTGCTTAGGCTGGTGTTCAGGTGTTAAGTATGAATGGAGAAGCTCAAGGCACTTCTTTTGGTTCCTAATCTTTAAACTAGACTTGTGCCAGACAGCTCTTCAAATTGAAGAAGTGCCTTCAAATAAAGGACAGTCTTCCGAAAGTCTTTCAAAGAGAGGGCCATCCTCTGTAAAGTCAGACACACAGTAACTGTAAAGTGACACTTCTCAAAATGGTCTAACAGTACTTTTTCATTTGTAAGAATGGACAGCTTGCCCTTCTTTAGAATCCATATCTCCTGCCAATTAAGCACAGATCCCACTTCCAGGTGTGATGCTGGCTGTGGGACACAAGAAAGCAAATACTCTAAACATGTCCAGATCACCCTTTATTCAGGCTGCCCATAGAATTAAAAAATAATTTCAAGAAGATTATGGAACATACTGGTGCTAGGAGTACATGCATACCTCCAAGCAAAGGCTACATACAACAGTCAGTGGGTTTTTGCTCAAATTTTGTTCATTTACTGTACAGCTTGCAAATGTGATCTGGCCATACTGATCTGTAGCAATATCTAACTGGGAGATATTTTGCAGATCCTTCCTTTTGTGAAGAGGAGAAAATCTGTCCAATGGGTTGTCAAATGCATACCTAAAACATGATAGCATGGAGAAATAAGATTTCTGTCTTTTTCTCAGCAGGGCTCCTGAGCCTTTTAAAAGAGGCAGAAATTCAAAAGGCAAAGCTTCAACAGACATGAAGATGCAGTATTGGGAAAAATCTTCTATTTCAATGTCATTAAGTCGAACCTGCTGCTGTTGCAGGAAATCTGCTCCGTTAAATTTCTGCCTGCTTTATAGTTACTAGCTTTATCCTGCCAATAATAAAAAGCGCATTCTTGGCTGGAAACAGGGATGTGGAGATCTCTGAATCTGAGCCATGGTACTGAAAACAGCTTCTGGGGTTGAGATGCGATGAACCCTGGCTCAAATAAAACCCTCCTGGCAATTCTCCACCTTTTCCCTCCCACTCCATGTTTTCTATTCTTACACAGCTTCCTTGTTCCTAGCAGGGAAACAAGTTGGCCAGTTTTCTTCACAAATGTGAAGCTTGGGGGAAAAAAATCACTCTTACAGATAACCCAGCGACCTGGCCTCCAATTGTTTTGGACTACACCTCTCTTAAGCACCAGCCATTACCATGCAATCCAAAGCATCCAGATGATTTCAGGTTCTTACCCTTTACATTGCTGTAAAATTAAAGCTTTCAGGAATATGTCTCAGTTAAATACAATCTGAGTTTTAGACAAGTAGGACAGTTATAGCAACTTCCATTTAAGACATTTAAGGTCACGAGCAGTATGTGTTCTTTTGGTTTTGCCCTTGAGACAGGGAGGGATACACTGACCTCAATATTTTGCTGGAGGTTTTTCCCACCTGACCAATCTGAAGTGTTGTTTTGGCTTGGGTGAGTAACTGTAATGTGAGTAATTTTCAAATAGAGCACTGGCTTCTCTGAAGAAGCTTCAGTCAGAAAGTCCTGAAGGAAATTGGAGGGGGGCAGGACATGAGCAAAACATTTCATTTAGAGTTTCACAAACTCAGGGAGCCTAAAAGAAAGCACCCCCACTTCCTTTTTTCATTTGCTTTAAGTGTCCATGAAAACCTGACAGGAGACAAGAAGATGGGCTATTGCTGATAGAAAATGCTTTCCCCCTCACATTTGACAGTGTTTCCTCTCTAATCCTCTAAGTGCCCAAACTATGCATCTCTCTCCCACAATAACACTAAAATCAATCAAGGCTAAGAGTTTAAGAGGAAAAATGGGAATGGGGGATAGAAGAAAATTTTGTTGGGTGGATAGGCGGGTTGATTTGTCACTACTCAATTGCTTTATCATTCCTCATTTCTTCTAGGCAGAAGTGAGCAGCAACTGTGCCTGGACAGAGTTGCACTTTCTGTGTTCATGCTAGGAACCCCTAAACAAGGGCTAGTTGTTTCATCCACACAATGAAAATGACTCGTTGTGCCTAAAATACTCTAATGGAGCAGTACCTAACCACAAAGTTGACTCATAATACATGAACAAGACCCTAATGACCCTGTGAGTCATGGTGCCAACACAGTAGATGGGTTGGGTGGAGGATAAGAAAGAGGAAAAGTTATACTTAAAGGATAATTCTTCATTCTTTGTAAACACTGGGATTCAATCCAACTAAAAGATTCCACTACAGCAGGCAAGAACACTGCAGTTCTAAGCTTCCCCTTAGTTTCTCACAGAGATCCCAAGAGGGCTGAAGCAAAAAGTTCAAATTCCCCAAGTCATGTCTGGTGTCAGTGTCTGCCAGTGCCCCACCACCCCCACCACTGACAATGCCCTAGGACTATTTTTCAATAAGGTATCATGCTGTGTAGCAGGGCCTAGAGACTGTCCTTTTAATTTTCTCCAATGCCTCCAATGAAATATTGCTGCCATCAAAATTCCCTACAATGCTTTGCAGCATGGCAGTCCAACTTTTTGTACATCAAGGGCTACATGAGCACTTCAACACAGAACCTGGGAGCCACACAGCTCTTTCTCCCTCCTTTCTTCCCCATTTCTCCCACCCAGAAACCCTCCCATGTGATCCCACTGGCCTCTCCTTCTTTCTTGGAATTGGCACACTGAGCTCTTGCACTTGAGCTGATGAACTTTCCCCAGCAAGCCCCATGCCACTCCTGGAGTGGCATGGGGCATGCTGGGATGATTTCTTACAAGCCCTTCGGAGAGCTCCCTACAATCATGCCTGTGCCATTGCTGGTATCTGGACTGGAGGGGGAATCTAAGCAGTTACAGAGCACCAGAAAAAGGCTTCAGGGACTACATGCAACCCATGGGTTGCATATTAGAATACCCCATCCTAGAGTAACTTTACACTGAAGAGATTTTGGGAAATTAAAATGGTGGCTGTCATCAGAGAGCTGTTCCCCCTAGCACCACTAGGTGGCTCTCCCAAGGACCCTTGGTCTAGGGACCCATCAAACAGGGCTGGCCCAGCACCCAATACTGACATAATTAAAATTATTATCCTATTACTGTTGAAACAGTCCCACAGTAGGGAGCAGATTGTAGATAGCCTTTAAAGAGCAAACCACCAATTTATCACTGCCATTTCATATACACAAGACATCATTTGAGACATCACTCTCATCAAATGATGCACATTTGCAGTCAAACTGCCCTTCCTCTTCACCACATGAGAAGTGAAGGTTAAACCTTCATACATACTTGGGGAGAACTCAGACGGTCAGAGAAAATGAGAAGAGAATAGGGTGTTTTGCGAGGAAATTATAAGGAAGAGACAAGTCACTGTACTGCACTGTCTTGGTTTTTAGTACTTCGACCCGTTTTAAATTAAAAATTAAAAATGCCTCCAAGAGCATTTCTAACTAAGGCATTTATTCTGTGCTCATCATTCTCTTCTTATAGCTATTATTATTATTATTATTATTATTATTATTATTATTATTAACATTTCTATGCCGCCCCTTGCCGAAACCTCGGGGTGGCTTACAACATGATAAAATACATTGAAATACAATAGTACATAATAAATTAATGCGTTGTATATGGGTTCCTTAGATAACAGTGTGACCAGTTTCATGCCGATGTCCAAATAGCACATCCAGCTAGTTGTTTTAAGAGGAGGTAAGATGCAGGACTACAAAAAAGATTATTGCATGAAAATGCAGTATTGCAGAAAGAGAACACTTTCTTCACTGGTGTATTTGTGCTGTTCCACTACACCATAGTGGCATACAAAGGTTATGTAGTGGAAAGCAGGAGAGAAAATGCTCTTAATTTAATGCTTGGATCTCAAGTCTGTAATGAATTTAACTGATGAATTCGGTGATGAATCTGAAAGTAGATACAGTGCCTGTAGAATGCTGGACAATATTTCGAATGCAGCAAAAAGATAATTATCCAACTGAATAGGGATAGAGCAGAAACATAACATTACTGTGTGCAGTTATCATGAAGTATTTGGGCCAATGATTCACAAGGGAGCAAATGACACTCAGCCCTATCTTTTATTTTCAGATCTCAGGGAGGCAGTAGAACCAATGTTAAAAAGCAGGTCCAACGAATCTGGGCTTAGATGTTGCACTTACTCCTATGACATTAGACAAACATCATGTGGGTGCTCTTGATTTGCTAATGCTTCTAGATACATGGGCAACAGTGACCAAGAATGTCTTTATCAATTTCAGTTGGTGCATCAACAGAGTCTTTCCTGGGAAAGATGAACAAAAATCACCAGCAAAATAAAAAAAATCAATTTAATACAATATTGGCTAGAATCAGGCATCAGATGAAGAACACAAGTATAAAGATAAAACATCTGAAGACCTGTAACCCCAGACAGCTTGGGACCTGGGTGCTCTCTCCCATATGAGCTTGCCTATAGATTCCACTAACATCTGAAGTCTGTTTTGGGTCTTCTACTGAGGTCTGGCAGGAGACCAAGAAGCAGAGTTATTTTGGTGCCAGCATTCTGGAACATCTTCACTCCTGCCTGAACCTCAATCCACTGTTTTCTTACCTATTGTTATATTTTACCATGAAGTTTGATATAATCTTGATTTGCATCTCTTTACTGTTTGCCTCTTTGAATTCTTCTAGTGGAAGAAAAATGCAACAGGCCTTTCTAAAAAACAGACACACAATGAAAGAGAGCATTGAAAAACCTGATTTATGTGAATTCCTAGCTACTTTGCAGGTATGAATTCTGGCACTCTTAAACATGTGTTAAAGAGTTCAGTGGAAGGCTGCCAAGTACCTGTTCAGTGCAAGAGTTTGCTATGTACAG